TCGTGGCAGGTGCAGCACTTTGTGAACTTCGAGGTGCAGATTTCGTGGCAGGCACAGCACTTTGTGAACCCTCATGTGCAGATTTCGTGGCAGGTGCAATACAAAATGCGTTTTCGAGAGATAGCGGACGCACGACACGCTGTATTTTTCAATAGAAACCTGGCAAGTCTAGCTCTGCGGAACGACGGTTGCGAGACGGTCTCGGGTCACGGTCGGATCATGTTCGAATCGTCCCTCCATTGTGGTTAGGGTTTTCACTTGTCTCTTGAAGTGCAGATTTCGTGGCAGGCGCAGCAGTTTGTGAACTTCCAGGTGCAGATGTCGTGGCAGGTGCAGCACTTTGTGAACTTCGAGGTGCAGATTTCGTGGGAGGCACAGCACTTTGTGAACCCTCATGTGCAGATTTCGTGGCAGGTGCAATACAAAATGCGGACGCACGAAATGCCGTATTTTTCAATAGAACCGGTGGCTTCGAACCTGGCAAGTCTAGCTCTGCGGAACGACGGTTGCGAGACGGTCTCGGGTCACGGTCGGATCATGTTCGAATCGTCCCTCCATTGCGGTTAGAGTTTTCACTTGTCTCTTGAAGTGCAGATTTCGTGGCAGGCGCAGCACTTTGTGAACCTGCATGTGCAGATGTCGTGGCAGGTGCAGCACTTTGTGAACTTCGAGGTGCAGATTTCGTGGCAGGTGCAGCACTTTGTGAACTTCGAGGTGCAGATTTCGTGGCAGGCACAGCACTTTGTGAACCCTCATGTGCAGATGTCGTGGCAGGTGCAGCGCTTTGTGAACCTCCAGGTGCAGATTTCGTGGCAGGCGCAGCACTTTGTGAACCTCCATGTGCAGATTTCGTTGCAGGCGCAGCACTTTCTGAACCTCCATGTGGAGATTTCGTGGCAGGTGCAGCACTTTGTGAACCTCCAGGTGCAGATTTCGTGGCAGGCACAGGGCTTTGTGAACCTCCATGTGCAGATTTCGTGGCAGGCACAGCACTTTGTGAGCTTCCATGTGCAGATGTCGTGGCAGGTGCAGCGCTTTGTGAACCTCCATGTGCAGATTTCGTGGCCGGCGCAGCACTTTGTGAACCTCCATGTCGAGATTTCGTGGCAGGCACAGCACTTTGTGAACCTCCATGTGCAGATTTCGTGGCAGGCGCAGCAGTTTGTGAACCTCCTTGTGCAGATTTCGTGGCAGGCACAGCACTTTGTGAACCTCCATGTGCAGATTTCGTGGCAGGCACAGCGCTTTGTGAACCTCCATGTGGAGATTTCGTGGCAGGCGCAGCACTTTGTGAACCTCCATGTGCAGATTTCGTGGCAGGTGCAGCACTTTGTGAACCTCCATGTGCAGATTTCGTTGCAGGCGCAGCGCTTTCTGAACCTCCATGTGGAGATTTCGTGGCAGGCACAGCACTTTGTGAACCTCCATGTGCAGATTTCGTGGCAGGAACAGCATCTGGGGAGCTGGAAGCTGAGAACTGGCGACTTTGTAGTACAACTTTAGTACGCGGAGCAATCTGTAGAGCTGGAAGCTGAGAACTGGCGACTTTGTAGTGCAACTTCAGTACG